GAGAGCTGGCCTGGAAGAGGGGCAACCAGGACAGAATCCGGCGCCCTGACTGGGACTAGAACCCGGTGTGCTGGAGCCGCAAGGCGGAGGATTAACCTAGTGAGCCGCGGCGCCGGCCTCTCTCTGCCTTTTTTAAAAAAGAAATGAGGTAAGTATCACATATAAAAATTTATGTAAAGCCAAATGTCCATCTAGTAATAAACATTTTCTTGTATTCTTCCCGTCCTGGATTTACCAGGCATCCGGCTTAAGTCCTATTTAAGCCTGCCACTAGCTATTTCCTTCAAACCCAAGTTTGAGTTCCCACACAGGTAGTGCATAAACAGAACTTGGAGTTGAGACTTTACTGTCCTAACTTTTCAATCACAAAATCTCCAATTGGAAAGGCAGAAATGCCATCCTCAGCACCTTGGAGTTTCTTCTGATAGACAGATAAAGGTATATGCCTCTAAGATAAAATTTTACTTGTATTACTAAATTAGTTTTTGGCCTTTGCCAAATATTTAACTCTCTGGGCCTTTCCCCAGCTGTAAAACCAGAGTTTAGAGAAGATATAATTACAGAAGAAAAACACTTATGAGAATTGTTATTGCTGTATAATCCTCAATCTATATAAAAGACTGTTCCAAAAATATTATTGAAGAGTCTCATCTCCTGAGATAATGAAATAGGATGTTTCTAAACTAACACATAAGAAGTATCTTGTCCCCAACACCCACAAAGTAGCCAAACCTATATCCAGTCAGGCATCCTGATTTTACTATCAGTTTTTAGGAAATATACGTAATGGAATATGTTGAATGAAATAGTATGAGGATGAAAACAGTCAAAATCAGAACATAAGAAATCCAACCAACTAAAGACCCAATCTCTACAACAAATAAAATGTCCAGGAAAACCAAAAAAGAACCTGTTATATATCAAGAGGCATAAGATATATCAATCAGATGGAAAGTACAGACATAGTTTGGCTTCTAATTCAAAGAAACAAGTATGAGAAAAGGTTTTGTTTAGAAAACTAGAAAAATCCAAATACTTGCTATTAGTGAAATGCTACAATATTAGGGATTTGTTTCAAAATCTGGCTGAGTAGGTTGGTACATCATGGAGGGTGTGTACATGTGGATGAGTGAGTGGTGGGGCATGGGAGAACAGAAACAAGATTGGCCAAATGTTGATAATAGTTGAACCTAAGGGCTGGGTTGTTGGGTTCATTATACGATTCTCTATTTTTGTATATATTTAAACACTTTAATAAATGAACTTAAAAAATTATGGCTTTCGATTCTATTGAGTTAATGTTCTAGTCTTTGTTGGAAAAACAAAATTCCTGAGCTAAAGACAAAATATTAAGAAAACAAAAAATTAAACAAAAATGTAGTCACTAACAGCTTACTATAATTACCTAATAAAAGACACATTCTTGGGGCTGGCATTGTAGCACAGTGGCTTAACCAGCATCCCATATGGACACCAGTTTGAATCCCACCTGCTCCACATCCAATTCAGCTCCCTGCTAATATGCCTGGGAAAGCAGCAGAGGACGGCTCAAGTCCTTGGGACCCTATACCCATGTGGGAGACCTGGAAGAAGCTCCTGGATCCTGGCTTTGGCATGGCCCAGCTCTGGCCATTATGGCCATTTGGGAAATGAACCAGTGGATTGAAGACCTCTCTATAATTCAACCTTTCAAATAAATAAATTTTTAAAGGGTTATTTATTTACTTGAAAGTCAGAGTTACACAGAGAGAAAGGAGAGGTAAAGAGAGAGAGAGTGAGAGAGAGAGAGAGGGAAAGAGAGAGAGAGAGAGGTCTTCCATCTTCTGGTTCACTCCCCCGATGGCCACAATGGCTGGAGCTGCGCTGATCTGAAGCCAGGAGCCAGGAGCTTCTTCCAGGTCTTCCACATGGGTGCACGGGGCCATCTTCTACTGCTTCCCCTGGGCACAGCAGAGAGCTGGATCAGAAGTGGAGCAGCCGGGACACAAACCAGCACTGAAGGCAATGGCTTTTCCTGCCAGGCCACAGCACCTGCCTCAATAAATTTTCTTTAAAAGATACATTGTTCATCATTTGAAAAAATAAGCTGCTGAAGTCTATGAAATGAATATACTATTATCAACCTCACATTTTTCACTTAAACCCCCAAATGAAGATACCCACAAAGCCCCAGACATATATTGCGAATGTCTTTTTAAAATATCCATGGGTGTGGTGTTTATTGTGTTGCCTTGAAAAGATTTTTGTTGTAATCTTTAAAGCAAAGCCCTTTCGTATCTTATATAATCTTTATCAGCTCTACTCCCCAAATGACAGGTTGAATACCAGGCACTCAAAGTCAAGTAATTATACACCATGTATCATTTAAAACAAAAATAAGTCCAGCTGCTATGATCAATATTCATTATAAAGCCATGATAATTAAGACAATGTAATGCTAGTCTAGAGTCAATAAAATAATTACAGCCTAGGACAGGAAAGAAAATCACACTGTATGCAAATTTGAGGTATGACAGGGCTGGAGCTTCGGGTCAGCTGAGAGGGAAAATAAGTGTTCAGTAAATGCTGCTGGGAACAACTTGTTATAAACGGGGGTGGGTGGAGTGGAATTACATACAGGCATCAAATCAAACAAGAAAATTCCCAGGTACATTAGGGATTCAAGCGTAAAAAGTAAAACATTCAGGAAATAAAAAAGACACTACCTGTTTTTACTCTGGAGGTTGGGAATAATTTCTTAAGACACAGAAGAGGACAGGCTGAAAAGAAAGGACAGAAACAGCATTCAGTACAGCAGTCAAGACACGGCTTGAGACGCCTGCGCCCTGTATCAGTGTGCCTGGCTTCAGGCCTCCACTGCGTCCAATTCTGGCTCTCTGATAATGTGCACCTGGGGAGGCAGCAGGTGATGGTCAGGCAGTGGGTCCCCGCCTCCACCTGGGAGACCTGGACTGAGTTCCTGGCTCCCAGCTTCATCCTGGCTGTTGCAGGCATTTGCAGAATAAACCAGCACATAGAAGATCTCTCTGTTTCTACCCCCCTCACCCCCCACAACATACACACTCTGTTTTTGTCTCCTGCCCTTCAAATAAATAAAAGTAATAAAAAATTTTAAAGGAAAGAAAAAATAAGCCTAATTTCCCTGAAATTAACTCCAACACATTAGTAACAGGAAAAAAAATAGTGCAACAGGGAAGTGGAAAAAACATGTTAAGAGGTATTTGATAGACAAACAAGAAATATAGTCAACTCTAATTTTATCAGGCAAATACACTTAAAATGATAAGATTCCATTCTTTTCCCAACAGACCGGTCGATAATAACAAGTTTTGGCGAGGATGTAGAACAAGAACTCTGAGACACAGTGTCTCAGCTTGTTTCTGTTGTTATTAACACAATAAAACAGGCTGGGTAAGTTATAAAGAAAAAGAGGTTTATTTTGTCTCACAATTCTCGTCCAAGGCCAAGGGGCTATGTCTGGTGAGGACCTTCTTGGTGGCAGAGTCCCGAGAAAGGCAGGGCAGGGCAGAGCATCACACAGGGAGGGGCAGGGACCTAAGCAAACTTTTACAGCAGACCTACTCTTGAGAAATCGATTAACCCATTAATCAATTAATTCACTCAGGAGAGTGGAGCCCTCACTCTTACAGGACCCACCTCTTAATATCTCAAATGAGGATTAAATCTCAACATGGCTTTCAGAGGGAACAAACCATAGCACAAAACTAGTAGGATTATAAACTGACCCAGTTACTTTAGAAAAAACATCAGAATTACTTAAAGGTGGACATGTGCATAATCCTACCACCCAGCAATTTCACCTGTGCTAGTTGGCTAGAGTTGACATGACAAATACTATAGACCAGGTGGCTATTAAATAACAGTTCTGGACACCAGAAGTTCAGGTTAGTTTCTTCTGAGCCCCTACCCTTGGCTTGCCTACTGGAAGTGTCCTCACATGGCCATTCCTTTGTGCATGTGAATGTTCAGTGTCTCTGTGTATCCTCATCTCTTCTTATAAGGGCACCAGGCAGGTTAGATCAGCACCCCCACTTCATCATAACTTAACCATCTCCTTAAAGACCCTTTCTCCCAAACAGTCACACTCTGTGGTTAGAACTTCAACACATAAATTTTGAGGGAAAACACTACCTCTCGGCATATTAGCTTGAGAAAGTTTATATATATTTAGAAACACTGGAAAAAATGGGTAATTCAAATGTGGTGTATTTCTAAAACAGAATACTATGTAGCAGAGAAAAAAGAACATAGTACATGTATTACAGTTACAGTGTTAAGTAAAGTGATATAAACAAAGTAATAAAAGCATACAGGCAATATACCTCCATTTATATTAAGAAGGAACCCATATCGCTTGCCTTAGAACTATAGTAAACTAAAGAGCAAAGCCCATCACGCCCACCTCGCGGCCCGCACGCGGCCGGTCACTTCCTGTGGATCGCAGCTGGATCCTCGGCGCAGCACGGCCCTGCGGTCTGCCCATCCCACCCAGCGGTGGAACCTGGGCGAAGGCGTGCTGAGGTCAGCCGGGCACAAGGGACCCTGCTCGGACTTGGCCGCTGACCCACTACCGTGCCGCGGTCAGCTCGTCACAGCACGAACCACAGATCCACGCGTCTGTACAGGATATGCAGCACACGGCTTTATGTGATAGACATGATGAAGCGCACGTCCATGTCAAAATGAGCTGCTGACGCACTGGGTTAGCACCACCACTAAATACAACATGGTTCTGTGAGTGACCACGGCAAAACCGTTAGAGTTTAATTCTCTCTATAGTTCTTGTGCAAAACGTAAACGTTCCTTGGGAGCCTACTGACTGGTGTCAGCCTGCGCCAGGCAGGGCGCGGGACGCTTCCCGTGCCGCAGGCTCCTAAAGCGGCAGCAGCCGCCTCGCCACGGCCACGGCGCGGCGACCGAGCCCGGACGCGCCCCGCCGGCGCCCCGCTGCAGCGGGTCCGACCGCCCCAACATTCAACTGACTCCCGCGGGAGAGGCAGATACCGCGAGACTTGCACAAGCGCGCCCGAGAAGGCGGCGAGGCGGGTCCCCGGCCACGGCCGCGTTCCGCGCATGCGCAGAGGGCTGCCCTGGCCCTTTTCCCGCGGGCTGTGGGGTTTCTAAGGGGAGGCCGGAAGAGGAGTTGCGGAGGGTAGGGTTGGGGGGTGTCGTGGGCCGCGGCCCCGCTGCCGACACGTGAAGCTAGAGGCGCGGGGGTGGCCGAGTCGTGTCGGCTGGGCTGGAGGTGAGCAAGAAGAAAGCCAGCCTCTGGCGGGAGTGCACCTGAGTCCCGCTAAGCGAGACATTGCAGCATTTTATTTTTTATTTTATTTTATTTTATTTTATTTTATTTTATTTTATTTTATTCTATTCTATTTTATTCTATTCTATTCCATTCTATTCTATTCCATTCTATTCCATTCCATTCCATTCCATTCCATTTATTTTTTGCGAGGAGATGGGTTCTGATGTTGCTCAGGGGCCGAGTTGAGGCTGCTGGAGAGCGCAGCAGTCGGGTCGGCTCGGGGATACTTTAATGTGGGCTGAGGGTCAGGCCGAAGTCTTGGAGTCTCCTGCTCCTCATCTTAGAGCTGCTGATGAACCCGGCGTAATACTGATGAAGACTCTGCAACAAACGGCAGGACCAGAGCGGAGGGCAATTAGCTGAGTGTGACGGGCTGGCAGTGCCTTCCCGAAGGCGTTGAGCCCTGCCGATCCTTTGAAAGATAGACTACCTTAGACGGACAAAAGGGAGAGACGGAACTAGCATCCCTGTGTGCCCACCACCCAACTGACGAGTAACTGACGGTGTGAGGTGGAAGTCCTGTGTCAGCGCCACCCCCGCCCCGTTCTGCTCTTGCCCACGGTGGCCACTTTCCCCAGCGTCTTTATGTGTGTGTTTACAGAACCACGTTTCTACCATTTCTTAGCTTTGCAAGCTGCTTATTTGAAAGAGTATCGTTGATGATCGCAGTATACTGTGCTGTTTGCATTATTTTAATGATTAGTCATGCGTATATCCTTTTGCAGCCAGTTTACTTAGTAAACGTTGTTTCTAAGACTGGCCAGTATTGTGCTATGAGATAGAAGAGCATTCCTTACTAGAACTTTTAACTATGGGAATTAGAGTCATAGTCGTTGTCTTCCATCTATAAAGGGCAACTGTGTGTCTGATTCAGAATGTTTCAAGGTTACCGTGCATTGCTCTCAAACGTTCTTATTCACTAAAAAGGTTTAGGTGCAGTTGTTTTTTTCCAGCAGTATAGTTCTGTTCAAATATGTTGGTGATGCACATCATGCTCTCACATCCAAAAGGCACCTGCCATAGACTCTTTAGTCCTGCTAATGTCCTTGGCAACCAGAGTACATAAAAATCTTTCAAGAAAAGCTTTGCCTCTTTCAGGCCAAGGTTGACTATTCGACACTTGTCATCTTTCAAACATTTAGCCAAGATTAATCCAGGGACTTCAACCAGTTTCCTCCCAGGTGCCCACCTTTTATTTTATTTTTATTTTTATTTTTTTTATTTTTTAACAGGCAGAGTGGACAGTGAGAGAGAGAGACAGAGAGAAAGGTCTTTCTTTGCTGTTGGTTCACCCTCCAATGGCCGCCGCGGCCGGTGCGCTGCGGCCGGCGCACCGCGCTGATCCGATGGCAGGAGCCAGGAGCCAGGTGCTTTTCCTGGTCTCCCATGCGGGTGCAGGGCCCAAGCACCTGGGCCATCCTCCACTGCACTCCCTGGCCACAGCAGAGAGCTGGCTTGGAAGAGGGGCAACCGGGACAGAATCCGGCGCCCCAACCGGGACTAGAACCCGGTGTGCCGGCGCCGCTAGGCGGAGGATTAGCCTAGTGAGCTGCGGTGCCGGCCCCAGGTGCCCACCTTTTAAAGTATAGCTAGGTATCATATTCAGTGGTTCTGTAGCTACTCAACCATAGTTAAAACATTTATTACTTTGACTTCCTCAAAGAAATCTTGGTCTGCCTCATTTGTAGTAAAAAAAAAATAACCTTTTGGGGAACACAGAGGACAAAACTATACAACTTTGTAACCAGAGCAGGAGTACAAAATAATGGTTTTAATGTACCCAGTATTTGTTCCAGTTGGGCATGGTAAGACATGCAGAAGTGAAAATGAGTATCATGAAGAAAGAAGTATTTATATCTGCAGATTCCTAAAAACAATGCAGGGCGCCCTGTACCATGCTGGGATTCCACACTGGGAAGCACCAGGAGTTAGTAGTTTGATGAAGCACAGTAGAACTGCAAGAAAAGTTTAGTTTCATGGGAAAGAATGGGCAAAGCTTAGTTAAGCAAGTTCAGTATTGACTAGTTGAAACAATTTCAGCTGGCTTTGGGCATAAGAGCTGTCCCTGGTTGCCTGGTACCTGACCCTGCAGTGATTAGAACTGGGCATTACTAGCCGGCTTGTAAGAACTCACTGGTGAAATCTGAAGTTACTAGATGCATACCAATCAGCCAACCCTTGGGAAAGCAATACCTTCCCAGTCAGCAAGGCCTCACCCAGAAATCAGAGCATTGAGAGTATAGAAAATAATGTAAAAAACCCTAATAAAAGTGTTAACACACTAAATATGTGTTGAATTCCTAATAAATAAAATTTTCCTCTCCCCAAAAAGTGAGATTACTTGTGGGAAAGTAGCAGTTGTTACTGTTGTGTTGGTGGCAATAAGGAAGGAAACTGTTGTGTTGGTGGCAATAAGACTCAAATACACTAAAATTGAAGAGAGCAATGCAGTAAGCACACAAGGTTAAGCTTGCCTAGCTGTACTTGTCCATGGCTTGCAGTTTTCAGCTTGTGAAGGTACTTTGCAACTCCTAGTACCAAATACCAGATTACATACACCATTATTTACCAGTCTTTTCCTTTTTTAATGTTTTTATTTGAGAAGGAGGGAGACAACTTGTGTCTGCTAGTTCTCTCCCCAAAATGCCTGCAAAGGCTGGGGCTAAGTTGTGGTCACAGTCTGGAACCTACCACCACCTCATAGGTTCTGTCTTGCAGGAAACTGGATCCAGGAGTTGGAGGAATCAAACCCATGTACTTCAGGCATCTTAACTACTGGGCTCCTATTTACCAATTTTAATTAAGATGATTTGCCTTACATAAATAGGCTTAAGCCTGTGTTAAGATAGTGAGAAGACCAATAGGTCTTTTGTTTCCCCATGCATGATCTTGGGTATCATAAAGGTCTTCAGCCAGCAATAACATTACTCTATATTATGATGCCTTAATATATCTCTGGTCTTATTCATGGGTCAAGGATATAGTGCAAGAAAGTTCTATAAAAATATAACATCAGTTCCAACCAGATAGTTCACCTAGCCATGAATAACCTCATTGGATGCTCACTAGATCAGATCATAACTGGCATTCTTAAAAATTCTTCCCATCAAAAAATATCAGGAGTAAAAAATCTAAGAAATTTTCCAACCACTTCAAGAAGTTCCTGTACGAGCCAACAGTCTGTCAGATCAGCTAGTTTGTGTCATCATCAACTAGACACTCAAATCACCAGCTCATCAGTGGGCACAAGATGTCTCTTTGTCAATGTTCTTCACATTACATGTATGACCCATTAGTGAGCCATGGACTCAGTTCTAAGAGTTATAATGAACATTTTTTGAAACAATATCAGTCGGCGCCGCAGCTCACTAGGCTAATCCTCTGCCTTGTGGCGCCGGCACACTGGGTTCTAGTCCCAGTCGGGGCACCGGATTCTGTCCCGGTTGCCCCTCTTCCAAGCCAGCTCTCTGCTGTGGCCAGGGAGTGCAGTGGAGGATGGCCCAAGTGCTTGGGCCCTGCACCCCATGGGAGACCAGGAGAAGCACCTGGCTCCTGCCATCGGATCAGCGCGGTGCGCTGGCCGTGGCGGCCATTAGAGGGTGAACCAATGACAAAAGGAAGACCTTTCTCTCTGTCTCTCTCTCTCACTGTCCATTCTGCCTGTCAAAATAAATAAATAAATAAAAAAGATATGATGAATAGAATATGTATTGGCTAAGAAGTTATTTTCAGTCATTTGCTCAGTGGTATCTTATCTGGTTTTTATAAAAAAAGAATGTTTTACAGCCTATTTTTATAGTAACATGATTTGCAACTCAATGTGAAGTCTGAAATATTCAACTGAAATTCAGTTGTAAATTTTGAGTTCATTTTTTGGAAAAATGCTATCTGGAGTGTATATACATTTGAGTTAGTAGCATTATAACATTTTAAGCAAAATGGAACAAATTGCCATTAAAATGGATCATTTCTTTATGAAAAGAAAGAAGTAATGAAGTGAAAAACACACAGGAGCTTGTTCAAGTTCAACTCTTGGATCTGGAAATGTGAAGTGACAATACTGAGAAAAGTAGTGACCATAATCTGCTAACTTCAGCTTCGGTGGAGCCACATTTCAAAAAGAAAGAAGTAAGTGCAAGACGTTATAATGAAGGTTACTTAAAATATGGCTTCATCAAATGTGAAAAACCCTATGAAAATGACAGACTACAGTGTGTTCTTTGTAATAATAATATTCTTGCAAATGAAAGCTTGAAGCCTTCAAAATTAAAGACTTTAGAAACTCAGTATGCTGAACTTACTGATAAGCCTCTTGAATATTTTCAAAGAAAGAAAAATAGTAGAAAATTGTCAACACACCTTGTTAGTTGTTCTGTTAGTGGGAAAGCGTCGCTGTCATTTAGCTGCTTATCGTGTGGCCCAAGAGAAAGTGGTTCACACTGCTGCTGAAAAAATCATTCTACCAGCATGTTTGGGTATGGTGCATACAATGCTTGATGATAAATCAGCTGATAAAGTAAAAACTATCCCTACTGATGACACAATGTCTCTTCACATTTCTGCTATTGCAGAACATTTGGAGACAATGCTTGTTTCTTGCTTACAGTCTGGCATAGATGATGCAGTCCAGCTTGCTGGAAGCACTGGTTTTGGAGGATGCACGACTTTTCTAGTTTATGTCAGATATTCATGGCAAGATGGTTTTTGTGGAGGATTTTTTGCGTTTCTTTCATTTAACTTCACACGTGAGTGCATAAGATATTTTTACAGAGTTAGAAAAGTGCATTGTTCATCAATATAAATTAAACCGGAAAAACCATAAAGGAATTACAGGTGGTACAACAGCAAGCATAACTGGAAAACAAGGCAGAATAATTAAAAAATTACTAGAAGTTACTAATGATACAGTGTGGAATCATTGCTTTATACACTGTGAAGCTTTAGCATCCAGAGAAATCCACAGGACCTTATGGGAGTATTAAAAAATGAAGTGCAAGTTGTTATTTATTAATGGAAGTTCACTGACTAGCCGACTTCTTCAGACAGTTTGCTCAGAGATTGAGACTAGTCATACTCATTTACTGTACCATACCAAAGTTCATTGGTCGTCTCAAGGGAAAATGCTAAGCAAGGTTTATGAACTCAGGAATGAGATTCACGTTTTTCTCAATGGAAAAAAAAATCTCATTTCACAAGTGTTTTTGAAGATGATATTTGGGTAATGAAATTGGCATATTTAACTGATATTTTTGGCATTCTTTATGAGCTAAGTTTAAAATTACAGAGGAAAAACAGTGATATATTTAAACATGCCGAATGTATCAAAGGATTCCAAAAGACATTGTTGTTATGACAAGCAAGACTTGAAAATAATCAGCCTAGTTACTACATGTTTCCAAAATTTTACAACATATTGAAGAAAATATTATTAATTAAAATATTTTGAAAGATCAGAAATACTGTTGCATCTCACTTCTCTATCTCAAACTTCTTTCTTTTCAGAAGAGAGATTTGAGACAGGGAAGACAGTTGGGTAAAAATCCACTTGCTTTGTGAAACCCTGAATCAGTAATCGAGTTAAACTTGGTGCTTGAAAAAGAGAATGAATTACTACAGCTCAGTTCTTCATATTCAGCATTTTGGATTTCATGTCAGCATTTTGGATTAAGATAAGACTTTCCTTTTCTAAGTAGAAAGAGTGTCCTGCTGTTACTGCATTCACAACAACTAGTTTGTGTGAACTAGGGTTTTCCATTTTAACTAAGTTAAGAACGAAGGAAAGAAATGGGTTGAATGGTGCAGCAGGTGTGCGAGTAGCATCATCTTCCTGTGTTCCAGACTGGAATGAACTTATAAACAGGCAAGCACACCCATCTCACTAAATAAGCCCTACCTAGTTTGTGTATTACTTATTTTATACTATTTTTTCTGTTGTATTTAAATGTTAATGTTGTATGTGATACCTTTTATGCTTTGATTTTTATATTTAAATATTAATAAAACCATAATGTGATTTTATGCTCATTGAACAAAAATTTATGAACCTCTGTTAAAGTCCAGGAACTATCCTAGAGACATTTGGGATACAAAAGTGAACAAAACAGAGACCATTCCGCAGTGGGACCTATGTCCTGGCAGGGAGAGGTGGATGATAGATCTTATAAGCTTTATAATATTTGTAAGATACATCCCAGAGAAAGACTAGTGAGGAGGCAGGGCAGGACAGTACTGGGGACCAAATCTTGAAGGGCTCCGTAGTCCACTCTCAGGCCTCTTTTTGTCATTACATAGAGAGCAATTCAAGGAGTTAAGCAGAGAAGAGGATCTAAATTAGGTTTTAAAAGACCCACTATAGCTATTATTTTAAATCTTAAAATGACTAATTTAAATGTTGCATCTCTAAAGAGGTCTTTCCTAACCCTCTTAGGGTGTGTCCTCTACTATTATTCCTTTTATTTCATTTTTTTTCTCTGGAGTATATCATTTTTAATAATTAAATTGGATTACTAACTCTTATTACTCTGCCACCTGGGCTAACTGCTCCCCTGCAGCAGAGATGGTGCGTGATACCTAGTAAGTGAGCATTCCGTGTATAGTTGAGCCATCCCGTATCCAGTGATTGGTGATATCTAACACCCGTCAATTATGGCCATATTCCCAGGAATAATTATTAAATGTGTGGCAAATTGCTTTGCCTTTTTTACTTTATACAAGCTAATTTTGTCGGGTAACCTCTGTAAGCTTCCCACAAATGGCACTACTTAATGTTGCTTCCTCATAGTGTTGCAGCTGATGAAGCAACTTGTATTGTATAATGCATCTTTCTCAAACGAATTTCAACTTCTGTTTCTTTGGAAACTCCCTAACCCCACAAGGTGATTTTTATTTATTTTTTATTATTTTTTTAAAAGATTTATTTATTTATTTGAAAGTCAGAGTTACACGGAGGGAAGAGAGGCAGAGAGAGAGAGAAAGAGAGAGAGAGAGTCTTCCATCCTATGGTTCACTCCCCAATTGGCCACAATGACTGGAGCTGTGCCAATCTGAAGCTGGGAGCCAGGAGCTTCTTCTGGGTCTCCCACTTGGGTGCAGGGGCCCAAGGACTTGGGCCATCTTGTACTACTTTCTCAGGCCATAGCAGAGAGCTAGATTGGAAATGGAGCATCTGGGACTCGAACCGGCACGCATATGGGATGCTGGCACTGCAGGCAGTGGCTTCACCAGCTACACCACAGCGCTGGCCCCAGTGATTTTTATTTTTATTGTGGTCTTTAGTGGCAGTTCTTTGCCATCTGCTATCACGCCTGGCCTACTGTAATATTTATTTTTCAGATTTTCTATTCTATTGCAAGTAAGGTTCCCCCCATTTGATGTTTGAAATAAAGTGTAGGAGAACAGTTTTCTGTAAATAGCTCACACTTGTATATAATTCAGATCCTGAATAAAGGTATTTCCATCCAAGTTAAGAAAAATGTCTGTGTAAGGAAATATTCCAGTTAGTGAAGCTGGAGACATCTTCCATACAGGCTTCCAGGGAGAGTAAAGGCTCTCTTTTCTTTCCTCCTCAGAGACATGCTTACACTGCAGGAGCAGAGTGGTCTCCTTTTGGAGGACAACACGGGTCAGTATGCCGGCAGCCCCATAGAAACCCAGAGTCTCCTAAAATTTGGAGCTCTTCTTCTCCGGTGCAACCCACTGCGTGCAAACTCTTTTTGCCTCACGTGGGAAAGACTCCCATCCATCCCACCTAAAATTCATTCACCCAAGGTCCCTCAAAGTCTCAGTCCTTTAGAGTATCAAGTCTCATCAAGTCAAAAGCCTCCTATCTAGTATTTAAATCATCTAAGTTGTGTAAGAGTGCAGCCCTGGTTATATTCCATTTGGGGAAAAATTATCTGTGAACCTGTGACACTAGAAAGCAAGGTCTGTGTTCCAGAGCAGTAGAGGCTCTCAGCCTGTTTCCTGCCTGTAGAGTTTTAGGAGCCTGCTAGCCTTCCATTTCATGTCTCTCTCGCTCTCGCTCTCTCTTGCTCTCTGGCTCTCTCCTTCTCTCTCTGGCTCTCTCACTCTCCCACTCTCATTCCATATAGTTTTTCTGGTGGTAGCTTCCCCAAAAACTTTGTGGGACCATTAGAAAATATGCTCGGTGGGGCTGATGTGACAGCAGGTTGAGCTGCTGCTTGTTATGCTGGCATCCCATATTGGAGCACCGATTTGAGTCCTGGAGGCTCTGCTTTTGATCCAGCTCCCTTCTAGTGTGCCTGGGAAAGTAGTAAAGGGTGGTTCAAGTGTTTGGACCCCAGCTACCCGTATGGGAGGCCTGCATGGTGCTCCTGGCTTTGGGCAGGCCCAACCCCAACTATTGTGACTATTTTGGGAGCCACCAGATGGAGATCTCTCTCTCTCTCTCTCTTTATCTCTCTCTCTCTCACTCACTCTGCCTTTTAAATAAATACATAAATTGTTTAAAAAACAAAAGTGGCCGGCGCTGCGGCTCACTAGGCTAATCCTCCGCCTTGCGGCGCCGGCACACCGGGTTCTAGTCCCGGTCGGGGCACCGGATTCTGTCCCGGTTGCCCCTCTTCCAGGCCAGCTCTCTGCTGTGGCCAGGGAGTGCAGTGGAGGATGGCCCAAGTACTTGGGCCCTGCACCCCATGGGAGACCAGGATAAGTACCTGGCTTCTGCCATCGGATCAGCGCGGTGCGCCAGCCGCAGCGTGCTGGCCATGGCGGCCATTGGAGGGTGAACCAACGGCAAAAGGAAGACCTTTCTCTCTGTCTCTCTCTCACTGTCCACTCTGCCTGTCAAAAAATAAAAAAATAAAAAATAAAAAACAAAAGTTGCTCCTCCACGGATCTTTCACAGATAAGGGAATAGTCTCATCTCTGCTCTGGCTTATGCTTAGATGGCTAAGGGGACCCATGAATCACATACCTCTCCAAAGCACCCTATGTGTATTGAGTATTCTAAAATTTTCTATTTCTCATGCACCAGGAAAAGCCTGTCTACATTTAAAAGTAGTTAGCATTTTTACATTTTACAACATTTAAAACAACAGCAAAATCTGTAAAAGATGCATGTCTAGCTGCATTGTTGGCTTTCCTCACAGTAGATTTTTGGCAATCTGAAGAAGCTGACAGTTTCATAAATCATAAAATTCTTTTTCCATTTTGCAATAATTATCTGTATATCTATTTCACATTTTAAAAAAAGCAACAAGAGGGCCAGCACTATGGCACAGTGGGTTAACACCCTGGCCTGAAGCACCAGCATCCCATATAGGTGCCCGTTCTAGTCCCCACTGCTCCTCTTCCAATCCAGCTCTCTGTTATGACCTGGGAAAGCCATACAAGATGGCCCAAGTCCTTGGGCCCCTGCACCCACGTGGGAAACCGGAGGAAGCTCCTGGCTCCTGCCTTTAGATCAGCGCAGCTATGGCCATTGCAGCCATTTGGGGAGTGAACCATCGGACGGAAGATCTTTCTTTCTCTCTCTGCCTCTCCTTCTCTCTGTGTAACTCTAACTTTCAAATAAAAATAAATAAATCTTAAAAAAAAAAAAGCAACAAGAAGAAAGTATGTCACTCCTTCAATATTTTGCTTGGAAATCTTAAACATACAGTCTTTTCCCTTTACCCACGGTTATACTATCCATGGTTTTAGCTACCTGTGGTCAACTGCAGTCTGAAAACATTAAATGAAGGGTGGGTATTTAGTTAAGAGCTAATTAGAATGCCCATGTCTCATATCAGGGTTCTTGGGTTGGATTTCCGGCTCTGCTTCTGATCCCAGGTTCCTGCTAATGCATACCTTGGAAGGCAGCAGTAATGGCTCAAGGGATTGGATTCCTGTCACTCATACCAGAGACCTGGATCCCACCTTTGGCCTTGTCTCGGGGCTGTGGTGTACATTTAGGAGATGGCCTAGCAGATGGGAGCTCTGTTTCTTTCAACTTCTTTTTTTTTTTTTTTAAGGTTTATTTATTTATTTGAAAAGGCAGAGTTACAGAGAGAGGCAGAGGCAGAGAGAGAGAAAGGGAGAAAGAGGTCTTCCATTTGGTGGTTCACTCCCCAGTTGTCCACAACGGCCAGAGCTGCACAGATCTGAAGCCAGGAGCCAGGAGCTTCTTCTGGGTCTCCCACATGGGTGCAGGGGCCCAAGGACTGGGGCCATTTTGTACTGCTTTCCCAGGCAATAGCAGAGACTTGGATTGGAAGTAGAGCAGCCAGGATTCGAACCAACGCCCTTATAGAATGCCAGCACTGCGGGAGGCAGCTTTACCCGCTATACCCCAGCACTGGCCCCTCTGTCAATTTTTTTTAATGAAGAGAATATTAAGTAAAAAATTCCAGAAATAAACAATTCATACATTTTAAATAACTTTTATTATACTATATTATAATTTTGTTTTATTTTTTATTTTTTGACAGGCAGAATGGACAGTGAGAGAGACAGAGAAAGGTCTTCCTTTGCCGTTGGTTCACCCTCCAATGGCCGCCGCGGCCGGTGTGCTGCGGCCGGCTCACCGCGCTGATCCGATGGCAGGATCCAGGTGCTTTTCCTGGTCTCCCATGGGGTGCAGGGCCCAAGTACTTGGGCCATCCTCCACTGCACTCCCTGGCCACAGCAGAGAGCTGGCCTGGAAGAGGAACAACCGGGACAGAATCCGGTGCCCCGACCGGGACTAGAACCCGGTGTGCCAGCGCCGCAAGGCAGAGGATTAGCCTAGTGAGCCGCGGCGCCGGTGTTAATTTATTTTCATAGTGTTCATCTTTTACTGTATCTAATATATAATTAAACTTTATCATAGATATGTATATACAGGGGAAAATAGTGTGTATATAGGGTTCAGTAGTTATCTGGTTTCAGGCTATCACAGGATCTTTGGAATCCAAGGATGACAAGACACTGCTAGCTGATTGCCAGCAGATTATTTTCTATATAAGTATATGACATAATTTAAAGTTTCTATCACTATATATTCTCAGTTTCCTTTTGAGCCTTGACATCAAAGTATCTACAGTTTATGATGATTTGAGTGTTATTCTAAGATGATTTGTTTGGTCTACTATGCTCCCTATCTGATATTTAAATTCCTTCTGAACCCGCACTGGCAGTCTTTAACAGTCATGTGTCTACTAAAAGTCTACTCAATGCAATTTAATGTTTTTCTGTCATGTTCTTCAAAATTATTCTATCTTCTACACATTACCCAAAATGAAGGCTTCGATGTTTTAAAAGTTTGTGACAGCAGAGTTATCATAGTTCTGGGTCAGAAAAAAATCTGATGACTGAACTCACCTATTCTCTACTCTCACTTCTTTGGGGTGCCCTCTTTGTGGACTCGGGTCAGGGTAAGCCAAGAACAGGAGTCCTGTTTGTGGCAATGCCCCAAGTTCAGCCTTGAAACTGAAGGAAAAGGGCAGGCAGAAAGAGGGAGAGTTCCAGATCTGTATTAGCTTCCTGTTACTGCTGTAACAAGTTGCCACAAACTCAGTGGCTTGAAGCGATGCAAATTTGGTTATCTTTTGGAGGTCAGAATTACAAAGTTAGGCTTACTGAGCCAAAGATGTTGGTAGTGTTCATTCCTTCTAGAAGCTTCAAGGAAAAGTGTTTCTTTACATTTCCAAGCTTTTAAAGTCCACCTGCATCCCTGTATAAGGGTCCCTTCCTGTATTGCCATACCAGTGGTACAGTAGCTTCAAGTGTCTGCCTGCTTCCACAATCACATCTCCTTCTCTGTGTCTTTGATCTATCTGTTTCCTTCCTACCAAGACCCTGCTGATTCCATTGGACCCATCTGTGATTAGGTTAGATTCTTGACCTAATCACAACTGCGGAGTCCCTCTTACTCTGTAAGGTAGCATATTCACTGGTTCTGGGAGCCAGGACGTGTACATCTAGGACATGTTTTGTGGAGCTATTGTTCAGCCTCCCACAGTAGACAGTTGTCAAGGAAAGAAGGAGATGGTAAGTGGCAAAAATCTTCAATGAATAGCAATAAAAGATGCTGTTATAAGACCTTTAAATGCAGGATTCCCTCATTTCATCCTCTAGTTGCTAAAAATTCTGCCCAACAAAATAAACAGTTTTCAATAAGGAAGTTCGGGAATTTTTTTTTTCTTTTTTTGACAGGTAGAGTGGACAGTGAGAGAGAGAGAGACAGAGAGAAAGGTCTTCCTTTGCCGTTGGTTCACCCTCCAATGGCCGCTGTGGCCGGCGCACTGTGGCCAGCGCACCGCGCTGATCTGATGGCAGGAGCCAGGTGCTTCTCCTGGTCTCCCATGTGGGTGCAGGGTCCAAGTACTAGGGCCATCCTCCACTGCACTCCCTGGCCACAGCAGAGAGCTGGACTGGAAGAGGGGCAACCGGGACAGAATCTGGTGCCCTGACCGAGCCACAGCAGAGAGCTGGCCTGGAAGAGGGGCAACCGGGACAGAATCTGGTGCCCCGACCGGGACTAGAACCCGGTGTGCCAGCACCGCAGGTGGAGGATTAGCCTATTGAGCCACGGCGCCGGCCAACTGATAACTTTTAATGTTCAAGAGAACAAAGTCCAAATATCTAACCATCATGCCCAAGGCTTTTAAGATATGACCTTAACTTTCCTGTCAAATGTCAATCTGGACCCTGTGTACCAGCCAAACTAAATACTCAGTCTTCCCCAGGCTTTGCTTCAGGCAGTTAATTCCATCTCACGTCTGTTTTGCCCAACCCAGTATGTCAGCAGCCTACTCCTTATTCTAGATCTGTATTTTTTTATGTCTTACTTTTTTCATTCAACATATATATTTTTTGATTCACTAGGATATTACCTTGTCCCTTTGTATTGCTGAATAGTATTATATGACTATCACAATTTCTTCTTCTTGTCTTGGTATGTCTGTCAAATGGCGACAGCAGAGTAGCAGTGAAAGAGAGAGAGAAAGGTCTTCCTTCCGTTGGTTCACACCCCCCAAATGGCCGCTACGGCTGGTGCACGCTGATCCAAAGAGAGGAGCAGGGTGCCCCATCCTGGTCTCCCATGCGGGTGCAGGGCCCAAGCACCTGGGCCATCCTCCACTGCCTTCCCGGCTACAGCAGAGAGCTGGCCTGGAAGAGGAGCAACCGGAACAAAATCTGGCACCCCAACCAGAACTAGAACCCAGAATACTGGCGCTGCAGGCGGAGGATTAGCCTAGTGAGCTGTGGCGCCGGCCTATCACAATTTAAATGTCTTATTGGACATTTAGGTTGCTTACAATATTTAGGCTTTACCAATTAAGCCTCTACAAATATTTTATATACAAATCCTTGCTTGATACATACTTCCTTTTTTTCCTTTGGTAAATGTCTATGCGTGGAATATCTTTGGTGGGTGGTATGGTTTAGGTATGGTTTGTCCCCCAAAGGTTCATGTCCTGGAAGTCTGCTTCCTAGTATGGTGAGTTTTTGTTTTGTTTTGTTTGTTTGTTTGTTTTAAAAGATTTATTTATTTGAAAGACAAAGTCACAGAGAGAGAGGGAGAGGCAGGAGAGAATCTTCCATCTTGCTAGTTCACTCCCCCACTGGCCACAACAGTTAAGGTTGGGCCAGGCTGGAACCAGGAGCTTCTCAATATATCAATTTGCCCTTTTATGAATTTGACTTTTGGTGTTATTACTAAAAACTCTTCACCTATAAAAATTTTGTATTGTTAGATTTTATATTAGGTCTATGATGTGTTTTTAATTATTTTTGTATATTATATAAGGCTCATTTTTTGTCTATACAGGTGGTTTCTTTCTATACATATATTTTTCTATACATATTTCCTTGTTGAATTACCTTGGCATATTTATTAAAAGTGAAATAATCGGGGCCAGCACTGTGGTGCAATGGGTTAATCCTTTGCCCATGGTGCCGGCATCCCATATGAACACTGGTTCTAGTCCTGGCTGCTCCTCTTCTGATCTGGCTCTCTGCTGTGGCCTAGGAAAGCAGTGGAAGGTGGCCCAAGTGCTTGGGCCTTTTTACCGACATGGGAGACCCAGAGGGAGCTCCTGGCTCCTGGCTTCGGATTGGCTCAGCTCCAGCTGTTGTGGCCATTTGAGGAATGAACCAGCCGATGGAAGACCTTTCTGTCTCTCCCTCTCACTGTCTGTAAGTCCACCTCTCAAATAAATAAATAAAATCTTTTTTAAAAAAATGAAAATAAGTTAATTATAAATGTATGAGTCTATTTATTTATTTTTTAACTTTTATTTAATGAATATAGATTTCCAAAGTACAGCTTGTGGATTACATTGGCTCCCCCCCATAATGACTTCCCTCCCACCCACAACCCTCCCCTTTCTCGCTCTCCCTCCCCTTCC